GCGTGGGGGGGGGGGGGGGGACCTGAGAGCAGCTTTCAAATACCTAAAAGGGTGTTACCAGGAGGAGGGAGAAAAATGGTTCTCCTTGGCCTTTGAGGATAGGACAAGAAGCAATGGGCTTAAATTGCAGCAAGGGAGGTTTAGGTTGGACATTAGGAAAAGTTTCCTGACTGTCCGGGTGGTGAAACACTGGAATAAATTGCCCAGGGGGGTTGTTTAATCTCCCTCACTGGAGATATTTAAGAGCAGGTTGGACAGACACCTGTCAGGGATGGTCTAGATGGTGCTTGGTCCTGCTGTGAGGGCAGGGGACTGGATTCGATGACCTCTCGAGGGCCCTTCCAGTTCTAGTGTTCTGTGATTCTATGAGGAGTTAAGGGACAGCCACTAGGAGCTGGGGGGCAGCTCCAGTCTGGGCCTTTGTGTGGCATCCAGGGCCAGGAACCTGCCTCGGGGGGGCCATGCCCTTGGGAGAACTCACGGGTTTGAGTGTGCGTCTCAGTAAATAGCAAGTGTGAACCTGCACACGAGGAGAAATAATACCTCTGGTCATTGCCCATCTCCATTGTATTGGTGTGCCCTGAGTGGGTGTTTCACTGAGCAATGCGTGGTGGTGCGAACGGCCTCGTGAGTGCCAGTTTCTAAATGAGTCACGTATGGGTGACCAGGCCGGTGTCTAGTTGTAAGGAAGTGTGTATCATTCTATAACCAGTGTGTGTGTGGATGCATATGGGTGTGGCAGACTGTGTGCATTGGCTCTGCGTGTCTGACTGCTGTGCCTTAGAGAACCGCTCCACGAAAGAACCACGTGGTTGTGGATCTTTGTGTCTAATGGGGCCACGTCTGGCTGTGTCTGTCCACGTCGAAGTGAAGAAACGGTCTCTATGAACGCGTGTGTTTCCACGAGTGGAGCATGGGCACATGGGCAGGTGGGATTATGTCCCGGAGAGGCGCCATGTGTGAAAGAACACGTGTGGGGCGGAGCAGTCCGGCCTCACGTGACGTCCTGTGGACGAAGAAGCAACATGCATGTGTTCAGCCTGTGTGCATGTGGTGCTTTCGTGTGATGTGTGTGTGAGGTGCCAGGCACGTGTGTAAAACGGTCTCTCTCCGCACTTTGAGACGGGGGGGCTGACCGCTTCCATGGGCCCCCGCACTGGGAGTGGGTTGGCTCTGTGCTCCAGAGGGGGTGGAGCCTCAGGCATAAGGGGCAGGGCCTCAGGCATAAGGGGAGGGGCCTCCGGCAGAAAGGGCCGGCCCCCACGCCCTCTCTGGCCACATGGAGTGGCACTCTGGTGGCAATTTAAAGGGCCCAGGGCTTTGGCTGCTGTGGTGGGGGTCCGAGGCCTCTTTTAATCGCCGGGCCCTGGGGCAACTGCCCTATTTCCTCCCCCGCCCCCTACCCCTCCCCTGGCCTG